TAGAAACAAACTTAAGCAGTTGATAACAGGTCAGTTGCAGGTGATAAAAGAGATTTTAGATGGGACATTACTTCTTTTTCCACACCTGGCATAACGACATTATATCCTCCACAGAGTTGTCTTTAAGTGCTGGTGTGTTTGTTCATAAACATATGGCATAAACAATACATAGTTATTTGAATTCCAAGGACACAATACATTTTTAAAGATAGTCACCATATGTCATAGATTCCTCAGTGGAAAAAATATTGATATTGGATTTTTTTTTTTAATTTAAACAACAAAAAAAGGCTGACTTATTTCTGACTGAAGTTTGTTGTTAAAATGCAGTGGGCCTTGTAGAACAGGAGTATTTCTTTCAATATTGTTTGTAGATTTTAAATTGGAGGCATTTAAGAATCAAGTTTGTAAAGTATTCTTGAAATTCTCTTTTTTTTTTAAATTACCCCACGAAGTTATGAAGACTGTTTTAGAAGTGATTATATATATATGGCATTCACACTCCCAGAAGAAGCTGAGAAGAATAAGAAGTCTGGCTACTAAGCATCCTAAATTTTAATCAAGCCATTATTAAAAAAACCAAACCAACTATATGCAGGCTAAAAAACGCTGAATTTTTATCTAGTAGCAATTGAGGAGTCCAGCGCTTATCTTAGATTGTGAAGAGCTATGAATCGTATTAATTTTAGCTATCCTCAAATTTGTTAAGTATGATGGAGATAATTGTAAATTTTGTTTCTAAAAATACGTTATGTGGGCACTACTGTGGGTTGTTGACCCTGGGGAAATGCTTAAAAGATGCCACGGAGTTATTGTTTTTTTATATTATTATGCTTTCTGAAGCTAAGACAGATGTACAAAAAGATGCCGTTTTTATTTTGTATTGGCAGCTTCCAAATATTTAGTATCTATTTCCAAGAGCTGCAATTAGTAAAGCATCCATGGTACTGAAATCCACACATCCCACAAGCTAATTATATTTGCAAGGTCAGATTGAATACATATTTTCAGAAAAATAAAGGGTTATATAAATGTGTCTTCTACTTGGCTGTTATATCACAGTTTGTTGATCTGGAGTATAATGTGTACAATTCACAAATTTGTCTGATAACAGAAAGTGGTGTGTGATTGTGTTTATTTTACTAACCAGTATATTCACAGCAATCACTTCCAAATATCTCTCCAGTAAAGATGTGTTAATTACAAAACAGACAAGGTCTTCTATTATATTAAAGCTACTTTTTTTTTTGAATCACACATGTAAATAGCATCATCAACCCCTATTTTAGTCCTCTGTTTTGATCTGTGAGTTGCGCATAGACCAAAGGTGCTATTAAAGACTCAGTATATGAAATAGGCAGCATTATATGAACAAAATTTATTCAACAAGAAAACAGACCTTTAACATGAATTTAACAAGCCTGAGAAATTATAAACTCTCATATGCTGCAGATTCATGCAGTGATAATAAACAAAAAAGGAAAGTAAGAGGTTTCCTTAAGCTAGCCAAACTGCTAATGGTTTTGTTATAAGCTGTCTGCTGTTGGAATGACCTCTGAAAAGTCTGAAGACACTTGTAGTAGGAAAAATTAAATGGTCAGAGTGGTGAAAGAGTTGCACTATGCGCGTGCATTTAAAAAAAAATAAATTTACCTTCACGTTTCTGGAAAATAGCCCCGTGGAATATGTTGTTTAACATTTTTATCTCTTTGCAGGAAGGGAATTTAGCACGAAGCTTGGAGACTAGTTTTTACTAAAACAGCACATGCTGCATTGTATAATTTAAGTACGTCGAAAGCTTAACATTTTTGCATGAGAAATACTGCCTCCTTACAACGAAAATCTAAGTCACTGAGTGGGGTTTTATGCTGCTTCTAATGAATCCTTAGAGGTTCTTTGTTCACAATAACGTGTCCGAAGTTTTCATCCCGGAACATGGAGTGACCATGTTGCTGTCATCTGATTGCGTCATGGTGTACTTCAAAATATACAAACGTAGAGAGGAAACTTCAGCTTCTACACGCCTCCAAGTGCTCACCAAGGCTTTTTTCTTGCATCTTACTGTGGCATAATTAACACCTACTTCACCCATTGCTCATTAGTACACTGGACATTAATGAGTCTCTTTATTTTGATAGAATCCTCTAAAGGAGGGACTGATCTGTGCTCCCTGTGGAAAAAAAGCAATTACGTTTTGTAGAAATGACTGTGTAGGATTTATTTGGTATTTATGTTTTTATTGTGTATTAGGTCTAAATTTAGCCTCCAGGTTGTTGAGCATGTTAGTTTCTTTAAGATGGTTGCTATAGTGATAGCAGCAAATTCCTTTAATCTTAGTGTAGTTAAAGTATTTAGTTACCATTGGTCGTCACAGTGCAACCGAGATGAGAAATACCATTCACACACATACTTTTTGTACCCCTCCGAGATTGTACAAATGGCAATTTTTAAAGCTTAATATTTGTGATTTATGAATTTAATATTTCATACCACTTTCTGCTAGATGGGTATTTGTTCTCTTTGGGCAATACCTGCATTTAATTCCATCAGAAGGACAGATAGAGCGGGCAGTCCTTTCCCGTGCAAGTAGCACCTGAAACAGCAAAAATTATTTCTGGTCAGCGTTAAGGCGCTTGACTAACAATCAGTATCACTCAGAAATATTTTAGCAGCTTTTAATATGAAATTTATCCAATTGAACCTTGAGAACACCAGCTGAAATGCTGAATTCATTATCAAAACCAAGTTTAGTAGGTTTGTTTTTTCTTTATTTTGGGTTTTCTTTTAATTTTACATGACTCAAGTCCCAAACCGAAGCCATGCTTGGCAGGGCCATTCAATCTTGGATAAGCTCAACGTAGTGAAGTTCTCAGTTAAACTCAGGTCTAGAAGCATGGCCATTAGTAAGTCATAAAGCAGCTCCTTGCAATTATAGTCTGCTGCCAAGTTCATGTTTCTTGCTCCTCAGGGTGAATTTTTACTTGCTTAGGTTTTTTCCCCCTTATCTAGCTCGTCTCTGGAGAACCCATGGTGTGGAATTTTTTTTGCTTTGCTTGACTTTTTAATTTATACTGCCTGTTTGTTACGGCTGGGCATTTTCAGGTGTTCATAAACTAGAGGATCTGGTTAAAATGGAACACACAGATTGTGTCCAAAAGCTTGCCGCTAATGTTTTGTGATAGAGAAAACCTGATCATGATTTCAAAAAAAAATACATTAAAAATACTATTATTTTATATGTTATCACAAAGAATGTATTGATACATAGAAACTGCTTCAGATGTTTTTGAGAAATAAATTTTTTAAAATGCAACGCCTTTTTTTGTAGCATTAGTGTCAGATGGCATGCTTCTGTTGCATATTAAATCTGAACTGAGTTGGGGGGGAGTTTATTTTTTTTTAAAAAAAAGGCACTGTTAATTCACTTCAGTTGGGTCACAGCCTAACTATTTTAACAGAGAAGTTTAGTTGGGGATTTTTTGTACGTTTTCTGCGTGCAGTTTTAAGTTATGGTATATGCAGACGGATCTGGCCCGTCAACGGAGGGACCAGGCAATAGCCCTTAGTGATGCTGAGTCAGTCAACGTGACTGAAATAGTTGGGTCTCAAAAGTAAATACACCAGGTGATAAGTTATTAGGCTTTTTCAGTTTACACATTGATTTTTTTTCCTTATAAATACTTGCCAATTAATTGTATTTCTACATGAGTGACCTCGATATTTATATTATACTAATAAAACACCTGCGAATTTAGTTACTTATATTTGTGTAAATGGAGAAGAGATGCCTAGAGCAAGGGGGGAGACTCAGTGTCCCTCTCTGCAGATTTTCAGTGTCAGTGGTTGATTTCTTGTTTGTTCTACATAAAGGGTTTGGTTCAGGTCTAATTCCTCAAAATATCAAACCAGCCATATAAATGTATCTGTTGTCCAATCCAATGAAATGATTGTAGAAAAGCTGTTATTAAGATATTTAAACTACTTGGTTTAACGAGCTAGAACACCTCTTGAAACGTATGCAGGCAAGATGCCCGCAGAGAACGCCGAGTACTATTCCTGTGGATGCACAAGGCTGTGCGTGCACTGGCCCAGTTAATTGACTGGTTTCTAACCAAGAAAATCTTACGTTGCAATTATGAGTCTGTAATGGTGAGTTACCCAGGAAGAGACTGGGTTTGAGTATGACGTTGATATGTTCTCCGTTCTGTTTCACCTCCCGTTGGCGTTGGATTAGGAGTGTGGGGTTTTATTGGATGGGGCCATGAAATCCTATTTCCAGAGATTTTCATAGACAAATTCAGCACAGGACAGTCTAAAAATCAGTGATGGTACTACTTTATTTGCAGTGAAATAGCACTGAATACTACCTACCGTGTACCTTTAAATCATAAATGACCTTGGTTTTCTTTTACTCTGTTTTTTACTCCTGAGCATGACACTGACAAGGACTTTTTAATCCATCAGACAGTTTATAGACCCTTTCGTAGTCACAAGAAGCAAAAAGCATCTGACTAGAAGGGAATACATGGGGCAAGTTCCTTGCTGGCTATAATTTTGTTGTCATTTCAAGTATTGTGGTAGTATAATTGATGTGACAGGACTGGGCTTTAGACTTGGTCCCTTAGCTTGTGCTCACTTTCAGTTTTAGTCTCTCTCTGTCATTCACTTTGATTGGATAAGATTTAGGTGACAAACATATGCATACCTTTGAAGCTTAGACTAAGCCTACATAAAAATGCAATGTTATACGATGATATCGTGTATATAAAACTTAAAGCTCCATGGAAAAGGTAATAATTGGTGTCACCTTACGATACAAGGTAGTGCAGTGTGCTGATAGCATAGCCAGCAGGAGGCTCTTTTTTATTAATATTATAATTAAATGATTTTCTGGATAAAGGCCAGGAAGAGATGAGAGTTGATTGTGCCTTGTCCACTGTTGCTTGGCACTATTAGTTGCATTTTCTAAAAAGAATTGACTTGACATCTTGTTTTTACAGGTTGTTATTGATGCCTTCAGATTGATCAATGCTAATATGATGGTCTTGGGACATGAACCAAGACAAACAACTTCAAATCTGGGTCACTTAAACAAGCCATCTATCCAGGTAAATCCAGTGTTGATGGTCCTGTAAACTGCAAGATTTATTCAACAATTTTGGGGAAGGGTACCTAAAACCAGTAAGCTACAAATTGTTTATTGTTCTCTGTATAGCATTTTTCTGCATGCATTTATAATTTATGTGATTCATCAATGGAGTTATATATGTGAAGGGTTTAAAATGGAGCCCTAAATTAGCTACTGAAGTGTGAATGCCTGTATAAGTATATACTGCAAAGGTTGAAGTACAGATTTATCGAAATGGAAACTTTTGAAAGTGACAATTGATGTCATACTGTGTGATGCAAGGTAGGTACAGTTTTCAGTACAGTTTTCAAATTAAAAACCGCTTCTTATTAACGTTCCAGCTTTTCTAAAGATAAATTGTTCTGAAGCAAATTATGGAGAGAGTTCCCTCTTTGTTGATGATCTTGTCCTTCTACTGTATGTTTATATAGGTTCTTGCTTAATGTGTAATCTGGGCTTCAGCTTGTAATGTGTCTTAGATAATTAGTCTTCAATTTTTATATAATGCAGTCATTTGTTGGAAAAAAAAAAGATGGAGTAGGAGATGCAGTAGATAAGTAGGATGATTGGCTTCAACTGTAACATTTCTTTAGAGTATGCTGTCTTATATTTCTTTGCAAGCATTTGTGAAGCTTAAATATTCAGTTTGATTTCTGAAGTTGACTTTCTCTAGTAAGGCAAAAATATTGGTCTTCAATGAAGCAAACTTTTTTTTTTTTTTTTTGAGAAATAGCTTCTCTCCTGAAACAAGTATCCTCTGGAGTGTATAATGCTTTTATCTATGTCATTCTTCTGCCTTAATGTTTTTTCCTTTTTTCTCTCCAGAAAACTTTCTTCCTTTCTATGCATTCTAAAAGGCATGTGTACTTGCAGCCATGAAGCCTAATTCCTGCTCATTTGATCTGTTACTTGAACAACAAATGTAATATTTTCTAGATAAACATCCAAGAAAAAGAGCATACACCAGCTGTAGTAGAACTGAGATAAGAGCCAAGCTTCTGCTCTAAGAGAGGTGACCTCTGGGAGTTACTAGATCACCATACCCCTCTCTTTCAAAAGATCAGTTATGTTTTGTTACCAGTGCATTGAAGCTGTTATTTTTACTATTTATAAAAATGCTAGCAAAAAAAAAATAAAATCAGACAATTAAAGACTGTCTGCTTCAGGAGGTGGTTGTGTTTTACCTTTGATATTTGAATTGGTAAAAACTACAAACTCTAATGAGTCTGAACCAAGCGGCTCATACTCTTGATTGGCTCTAGGCAAGCCCGTACTTGCGTATTTCAGAGCATTTCTAAGTGGGCTTTTCTGGACAGTGTGTAATGACCTTCCTTGCAAACCCCTGTAGTATTGTTCAGCTTCATTATTTTGAGATCACTCTCAATACGGTGGCATATTTTGACCACGGGAGTTTTGAGTTTCTGTTGTTAGAGTGGGTATTTTTTGTTTGTGTTGGTTTTTTTTGAAAGTTGGCAGTGAGCAGTTTCAAATGTCGTTGTTAAGCTAAAAATCATAACTTAAAATGGTACTCTGTTCTCAAAAATGCAAGGGTTCTCCAGTGTTGTTTTACATTATTCTAAGGTTATGAATCAAATTCTGACCCCACCTGAGGTCAGCAGCAAGCTTAATATTGATTTCAGCTTGGCTAGAAGCAGGGATTTTAAGACATTCCTTAAAATTTCAAGAGTAGGAATAGTACATGGCTTGACTTCATTCCTGGTTTTGTGGGTTTTTTTCTTTTTGTTTATCAACAACCAATTTAAAAAATGGTCTTTATGCATCTAATTTGTAAGGTTTATTGAAATGATGGCTTCCATTTGAAATAAAATACAAAGCAAGCTTTGCTTTCAAGTGGTTTATGGGTTTTTAATTTAACCTGCTGGGGTGGCTAAACTACAGTTACTGTTCGGGTTTGAAGTTTAACAGCTGCTACCTTCTATATCTGTGCACTTTAAAGGAGCGATTTTGGAAGGAGGCAGGGAAGGGAGAGGATAGTGGGGAAAGGCAAAGAGGTTTGTCAAATTGTAGGCGCTTTAGGAAACTCCTTAAATACCTACGACTGAGTTTAAGCACAAACCTACCAATCACACATGCAGTCCTATTGAATGGGATGGGAAATTGGCGGTGGAAATTACTTATTGCTAATAGTTTCAAGCATAAATTAATTTATTGGTGATAAAACCTATATTTTACAGTTTTATTTGTAGTAAGTGGTACAAGTAATGGTTATATATAACTGCTGCTTCTAGTAAATGTAACCATTCAAATGGTTTTGTATCTTTGTATGCATGTTTACGAAAGTTATCTGTTTAAAATGCGTGTATGAGAGTATTTTCAGCTTTCATACAGATAACTTTGGAATGCTGAAATATTAAGTTGCGTGAGATGCAAATACACGTTGATTTTTATATAGCTCTAGAGCATATATTTCAACAGAAATAAGGTGGAATGATTGAAACATAAGAAATATTTACCACTAATTCTGCGTGTTTTATGTATGATTTATCATATCTCATTTCTAAATGTATTCTTCATATATAAACATTTATTTGAAAAATAGACAGTTTTAGTTGTGATGAGGATTTATCATGATCTACTTAACCCCCTGTAGCCCCCAATTATTAATCCACTGACCCTTAAATCATAAATGTAAAAAAAAGTTTATGTAATGCATATGAGCAAAATAGAAGATTCATGCGTTTAGGTGTCACGTAAACTAATCCCAGTTGATCGGATTGTGACATAAAAATTTAAGGACAAATTTGCAAAGAGTGTAATTATAATGAGGGACACTTTTGTATTTTTATTTTTTATTCGTGTAAAGTTAGAAAATAAAATTAGCTTTAAGATCCAAAGTTAATTTGAGGCACGTAGTCTAATGAATATCACAGCTTCATCTACTCTCCCTTTGTATTGTACCGTAGAGAATGAACTTGGGAATGTTGGCAGGGGTTGTAAATAAATAGATAGCCAACATTTTTTTGTTCATAACAGCAATAGCCTTGTATTTTAACAGAAGTGATAACCAAATTTATTGAGAGAGGAAGGATTTGAGAGAAATATGTTTGTGCATATGTATCGGTCAAAAGTTTGCAGGCAGTTACTACTTTTTCCTATAATAGTTGTTACTGTGTGAAAAAATCCATGGTTTAGAAATAGCAAGTATAAGTGTCAGTTAACGAACACCAAAAGAGAAATTGGAACAGGTATATTTACTCGATGCCTATTTATAGACTTCATATATGGTTCTTTGTGCTTTTCCTTTTATTAAGTGGTGTTTGAAGATGACTGTATTTAAATGAACTCTTCTTTTCTAATACTCCTTTATCTGGTGGGCAATTTTTATGCAAACTTTTTTCCTGAATTTTACAGGCACTGATTCATGGATTAAACAGACATTACTATTCCATCACCATAAACTACAGGAAGAATGAGCTAGAACAGAAGGTAATTGTTTTAGCCTTCATTCAGAGGACAAAGGATGCTACACAAACTGTTTAAGATTTGTGGCAATATTCTGATTTCAACTGCTGATGCTTCCGGTAGCTGTTTTAACTCTCCTGGAGTAGAAGGCTCCTCTTTTAGGAAGAACTTAGATGTGTAGTCGTGGTTATGATACTTTCCAAACCCACGTTCTAATATTCACACACATAGTTTGACAACCTTTTTGTCCACGTGCGTTATGGAAAGTGCTCACGCTGTTCTCCACACTTAACAGGTTTGTGCAAGGTTTGAGATTTTCAGTGCTGAAGCTGAAAGACATGCTAGCTGCCTTAGGTTTGCACAGGCTGGAATTTCTGAATCTAGAAGCCCACGTTTTCCAAAACGGAATTATATAACCAAGGAATCTCAGCTTTTTACTTGCCGTAATCACTTTGAGAGAAGACGTTTCAGTTGGTATTAAGCTCCCCAAGACTTCACTGAATATCAGGAATTAGTGATGTCTTGCATTTACAGAAAAAGTACTGTTCAGTTCCTGACAACAAATAATGTCAGTCACTTTCGCACCAAACTTCCTCGGTTACAAGTACAATCTAGCTTGACAGTCTCAACCAGGAAAACAAAACAAAACAAAAAAGCTCCTTTGTCGTCTACAAAAGTTAATTCTTAAAAAGCCAGATTCTGTCTCAGTTATGCCTGTGTATGTTCATGGGCCTTGTTAGGGTTATAAATTGATCTTAGAGCTGGAGTTTATGGTGAAATTGTCAGAATAGTTTTCTCTCTTAATTTTAGCTTTTAGAGGGATAGAAATAATAACCCCGGTTTTGAATGAAGGAAGGACATGCATGTGTATCGAGGAGTTGAACCCTTTTTAGGATGGTATCAGACCTTCAAGACCTCACTGTTACTGAGAAGAGTAACTAATTGAACAAAACCAGCTCTCTCAGGAAATGTCTGTGAAGCTTCTGGAGATCATCGTTTCCCTTCAGATACAACAGTGTGGCCAATGCAGTCTTCCTGAAGCTCCAAGAGTTTATTTTCTGTAATGGCTTTACTTATCTAGGTTATTAGCTTTGCTAGTATGAGAATAATCTTGACTGAATTAGGGAAATTTTTAATCTGTGAGGCAGTAACTATCTCCACACATCTTTCCTAAGCCAGGTTTGTACTTGTCTCAAACCCCCCTCGTAGCGGTGGTGATCTGTTATCTCCATCTGTAGTAAGATATTGGATGAGGAGTCCATCACACCAAACCAGAATTTTAAAATCCAGATAACCTATCTAAAC